TCCCAGTTCAGGGCTCGCAGTCCCAGTTCAGGGCAGCCTTTCCCCGCCGGCTCTCCCCATGTCTCCGGCCCCGCTGGACGTGCCAGGCTCTGTTCCCTGCCCTGGCAGCTGCCAGCTGTGCCCTGGGCTCCTGTGCCAGCTGATCCTGCGACATTCCCTGCTCCTCTTCCCACTCCCAGCAGCTTTTCCTAACTGGTCCCAGCACGAGCCACAGGACCCTGCGGGCTCTGGGGAGAAAGAACCGGGTCCTGGGGGGGCTGTGGGGCCACTCCTGCCTTCCATCCCCTCTTTTTCTTTTGTTCCCTCCCCTCATCTTTTTAATTTTTTCTTAATTTTCCCTTTTTTTCCCCCATGCTCTGCACAAGGAAGACAAAAGGATTCGCGGTGTTGGGTGGGATTCGTGCGTTGGGAAGGATTTCAGCTGGTGCCAAGGGTTGAGGGCAGCTCCCCCCTCCTTCCCCCCATCCTGGCTCTGGGTTCAATCCCAAATTTTCCCACTGTAGCAATTCCCAGCAGAGAAGCCTCTGGTCAGACTTTCACTGTACCTCTCCCGAGTTTCCTTTGGAGACCGAGCGCGCCTTTTTTTCGGTTGTACCTTTGTCTCTGTACAGATATTTTGTAATATATATTAAAATTTTTTTCTTTTCAGTTTATAAAAATGGAGAAGTGGAGATCGGAAAATTAAATATTTCCTGTTACTGTAGCTTGGCTTGCCTTTTGCTCCGTTGCTTCCCGTAGCCTTTGGAATCGCACGCACGGTAACTTGTGTTTTCCTTGGAAAGCCTTTTATTCCCTCCTGGTGAGAGGGGTGGGATTTGGCATTGCCAGCCTCTGCAAAGCCCCCAAATTCCACTCTCTAATTAAGCTCCAAGCCATCATTAGCAGGGTTTCCCCCTGCTCAAAGGGGTGTTGGTGGGAGATGCCCGAGCTGGAGCCAGGGGATGGTTTGGATTAAATGAGAATGGGAGAGGGGATGGTGCTGCAGGAATGGCAAAGGGGGAAGGACTGGGGTGGAGATTTGGCCCCAAAACCTCTCCCAGCTCCTGGCAGCGCTCTGGGTGCTGGAGGGGACCCCAGGGTGCCCGGAGGGGATGGATCCTGCTGCAGGAATGGCAAAGGGGGAAGGATTGGGGTGGAGATTTGGCCCCAAAACCTCTGGCAGCGCTCTGGGTGCTGGAGGGGACCCCGGGGTGCCCGGAGGGGATGGATCCTGCTGCAGGAATGGCAAAGGGGGAAGGACTGGGGTGGAGATTTGGCCCCAAAACCTCTCCCAGCTCCTGGCAGAACTCTGGGTGCTGGAGGGGACCCCGGGGTGCCCAGAGGGGATGGATGGTGCTGCAAACTCAGCCAGGAGGGAGGGCAGGGAGCTGTCCCTGTGCCACCCCTCCCTCCATCCCCTTCCTCCGCCGCACCCCCTCCGTGCTGCGACCCCTGAAAGACTCGGGAAGGTTTGTCCCAGCCCTCGCGTGCCGGTCAGGAATTTGGGATGGTGGGAACCGCCTGGAAATCGCCTCCTTCGTGCTGGGTTGAGGCTGGGACGGACCCTCCCCGAGCTGAGGAGGAGCTGTGGCTCCCCCAGACCGTGTCCGTGCCTCGATCCCCGCCGAGCCCGGGGACCTCTCGACCCCTAAACCGGCACTGCCAGCCCCGGTTTTGTGGCTCTCCTTTCGCCTGGTTCGGATCCCTGCTCTGACACGTTTTAAAATAAAATCCCCGCGCAGATGGCGGGGAGGCGGCGGGCGCTTCCCGGTGCCTGGCCAAGCCGGGAGCGAGCCCCCGTTGCCCACCCGGCCTCCCCTGATTTATGGAGGGGGCAGCTGGGCCCCGTGCACTCGGCTGGATCCCTAATCCGACCCTCCTGGTCCCTGCCCGCGGCTCCGCCGGGCTCCGGGGGCCTCACCCAAGGGATGCGATGCCATCCCGAGCTTCCTTCCCCCCCGTGCCACCTTCCCGTTTCTCCAGACAAAACCCCCGCGCGGCCCCGGCTCCTGCGGCATCCCCATGCTAAGGTGACCAGGCCGTTTGAGCCCATTTCATTTCTTTTGGCATTGAACTTCCTCGGCAGCAGCTGCCGTGCCAAATGGCCGGGGGCTGCCCGGAGCCGGCGCTGTAAATCTCCGGCTCTTCCCCGCTTGGATTATTCTCTCCTTGGAGCCGCGACATTCCCGCCCGCTCCATCCCGACATTCCCGCTTCCAAGGGGTTCCAAATGTGGGATGTGGCGCAGCTCTCCTTCCTCCTCACCCCCGCGATGCCCTCCCGGCGCTGGGGTTGCGGCGGTGGCACCGATCAGCTCCGCTGGCATCGGGCTCCGCAGCGTCCCGGTGCTCCGGGGATGGGGATGGAATGCTGAGGAAGAGGAGGAGGAGGAGGAGGAGGAGGAGGAGGAAGAGGACGGGGCCTTCCCATGGAGCAGATCGCCGCGGGACCCCCGCATCCCACGGGATCCTGTCGGCAGCTCCACCTGGAGCAGGTCTCGCACTTCCCCGGGGCGGATGCACACGCGTGTGACAGGGTGCGCGCACACCTGGCGTGGCACACGCGTGTTCACGCGTGTCCGGGGTGGGGGGGGGGTGACAGTCACCAGGTGTCGCTCTCGGCACGGCCACCACCTCCCACCGCGTCCCCGTCCTCCTCCTCCTCCTCCTCCTCCTCCTCCTCTCCGGCTATATTTGTCCTTCCAGCTGCTCCGGCTGTCGGCATTAAAGGTTTTTCATCCAATTTAGACGTTTCCTTCCAAAAATCCGTTCACACCTTTCCCTGGCATTTGGAAAGGGGAAAGAAGAAAAGGACCGAGAAGGATAAAACCACCCAAAAAAAACCCCACAGGGGATGTTGGAGGCCGCGGATGGGGGGACGGACAAGGCGTTGGGGTTGAGTTTTGGGGGGAAGGATGGGGGTGCGAGCCCCCCCGGAATTACCCACCCCATGGCACCCTGCATTTTCCATCTCTTGGGACCCAGGCGCCACGTTTTGAGGGCACGGGTGGGTTTTGGGCGGCGGGGTTTGGTGGGCATGGATGGGGCGGGGAGGGGGTGGTGGTGGCACGGTCCCTGTG